TTCTGACTGTGCAAATATTTCTGACTTGTATTAGTGTGATACTGGAATAAGCACGTGAGAAAAATGTGGTATAAATCAGCGAGCTCTGTTTTTTTTATTAACCCCAAAGACCACTTTTCAAGGAATAACAGTTTAGCTGGTTATTTAGTCTGAGTGGCTGATGAGAGAGTGTTTGATTCAGCCAAGCTAAGTGAACCTACCAAAGGACATTTTGAGGGCAGTCTGCATTGGCTTGAAAGAATTATGTGTTTAGTTGAGTAGACATTGGGAAAGGTGAGAAGCTGAAATAGGTAAAAACTCTTTTGTGTCCGTGAAGCCTAAGAGAAGTAATTTGACAATAATTTATTCAACCCACCTTGATCTCTTACTATGAAGAAAAACCTTCCAATTATAAAAGCAAGAGATAAAGTGATGTGAAAAATGTTCAAGGCTTTTAGTTGCATAGAATCATAGAATTTTAAGGGTTGGAATGGACCTTAGAGATCATCTAGTCCCAGCCCTCCCTGCCATGAGCAGGGACACCTCTGCACTGGACCAGGTTGCTCATTGCCTCACCCAACCTGGCTTTGAACACTGCCAGGGTTGGGGCATCCACTACTTCCCTGGCAACCTGTTCCAGTGTCTCACCACCCTCACAGTAAAAACGTTTCCCTAATATCTAGCCTTAACTTCCCCTCCTTCAATTTGAACCTCTTACCCCTTGTCCTGTCACCTGTTTGAATGATATTTTAAGATTCTTTGATCCATTCTTATGTTAGGAAGATGAAGAGATGACTTGTCTGAGGTATCTTCAGGTCTTAAGTTTATAAGATTGTACAGATGAGATAGTTAAAATTGTCCGGAAAGTGTTAATCCATTATCCTTTGTCCTGCTATGTATGTTGCTGCTAATTCTCAAGAATTTTATGGCAAGAAAAATGTTTCTGTATTCATGGCTGTCAAACACAAGGAAAGCTTTACTACCTCTGAAAGTGTTCCTTTCAAATGCTTAATTTGAGAAAGTTGCAGCTTGTCATTTGTAGCTAGAGTGTATGGGCTTGCTATACCGGTGTCATGTTTTTTAAAAGTATGTGGTTGATTCTTGAAGCTGAAAATGTGTTTAGTCTTCAGACTTAGTGTTGCTCTGAGAAAACTAATGTTTTTGACACCTCTTTGGTCAGCTAGTGCAAATACTATTAAACACTGAAGAGGAATTAATTTCAAGTTTTTGAATTTAAACTTTAGATATTTTCTGAATTCCTATGGTAACGAGTAGCTCATTTTCCTAATTGAACGATATGAATCTAGCCTTTAAGGGCTTCATTTAAGAGTCTGTTTTTTTTCAAACTAGATCTATCTCCTGATAATCCAGTTTCTGTATTAATGAGACACAACAGGAGACAAATTATTTTAAGTTGTAAGGAAGAGAGGAAGAAAAAATTAGTCCATAATAACTTTGGAGCATAGCATGTCTTCCAAGCTTTCTGAGTATCTCTAGCTGTATATTGGGCTGTACGTGCAAGCATGAGCCAGCAGCTCGAGGAAAGGGATTCTTCCCACACTCTGGCACTTGAGACCACATCTGGAGCACTGTCTTCAGGGAGCTGCAGTACAGGCCAGACACTGGTGTACTGGAGTGAGTACCACAGCTGGCAGCCAAGCTAGTTGGGGCTGAGCTGCAGGATGAACAAGGAGACTGAGTTTCTTCAGCTGTAAGAAGAGAAGGCAAGGAAGAGAGATTGCTGATGCCTAAAACAACATGATGGGAGGAGTTAGGGGAAAACGGAGCCACAGGGGGAAGACAAGGGCAACAGATACAAACTGGAACATGAGGTATTCCAGTAAGATGCAAAAAGCAACATTTTATACCATGAGGGTAGTGAAACATGGATGCATTGACCAGAGGGGTTGGTTAAAAGATTATTTTCTAAATATTAGTTACCCTTCTTAAAACATTTTTTCAGTTTTTGCGTCAGTTCTGTTTAGCAGGCCATGGTACCCTCTACAATTCAGTTCCAGTTGCTATAGAGCACTCCGGATCATCTTCTGGAAAAGGTCTTTAAGCAGCTGTTTCTTAGTCTGTACAGAAATAATGGAGTTGATGCTTGATAGAACAAACCAAGTTTTGAAAATGTGTGACCAAAGCCTGTTGAAGATACCCAATTATGTTCATCAGATAGGGAATGATTAACTTGTGCGGCATGGGTAATGGAATATGGGAGTGTTGTAAAATGGGTAGTATATTTTATTATTCCACCTGGGGGGAAAAAAACCCCCAAGCAAATACTGGCTTAAGTCACATCTTAAACGTGCATCAGTTGGCCCAATAGAGGTAGTTCTCTGTGTGTACAGACTGACTTGCTTCTATCTGTAGTGGCAAGAGTAATACCTATGAAATCTTTAAAAGCGTTTTCTTCCCTTTGAACTGTCAAACACTCTCAGAGTTCCTGATGTTACGAGAACTGGAGAAAGCTTAGAATTTATTACAATATGCTAGTTTTGTCCTTTAATTTCAAGGGAAGTTATCCAGGTAGTCAATATAATTGGAGATAAGAAAGATAAAAAGGTTCTTTGCCATCTATCAGAGTCAGGTTTCTTTGTGGATTCCTTTTTTCAAAGTGATAAATGTATTTCCTGCAGATTATTTCCTTACAACACTAGCAATGTTATGGTCTTGCTGTTGAGGTTCTTTGACTTAATATAAATTTTCCACTGAATGTGCTTTGTTCAGCTTTATGTGGGAATCACATGGATTATTTTTCTTTTATTCATATTCCCACTGAGAGCTGCAAATACAGGTCAGACAGAACTGATTATAGAATGGTTTGGGTTTGAAATGGCCTTTAAGACCATCTTGTTTCAACCCCTCTGAATGTGACTGTCCAACCAATTCCTTACCCACTGAACAGCCTATCCATCAAATCCACCTCTCCCCAAAGACTTTACAGAAGTCCAGATAAAGGACATCTGTCATCCTTCCCTTGTCTGCTGATTATTTGTATTAATGGACAGACCCTCATGCCAGTGTCAGCAAATGTTTTGGGATCAGAGGAACAGAGCTCTTCAGTGGTACTCTGCTCTTCAAGTGCACACTTTAATTACTTTTTTTCCCTTGTGTTACAGTTTTTTTTAGAAGGAACCTTAAGTGTAGTATGTGAGAACTGAAAAGTTGTGGAGCAGTCAGAGAATATTTTTGCACTGGTGAGGTGGATAAAAGAATGACTGAGACTGTATTAGACTGAAAAGGTGGCTGCTGGAGAAAGGGCCAAAGGGGCAGTCTTGAAATGAGAGGATATTTTAAGTGTTGATAATCTGGAATTTTAATAGGATACAGAATAAACAAAATTTCCTCTCTCCAAATTACTGTGCTTGATTAGATACTCATAGCTTAATGTCACTGGTTTTAATTTAATTTCAAAAGGCATTTTGGGCTCCTTTTTTTAAGACAAAGTTGTATAGTTGGTCTACATCTATAAGTAAATGGATCTACTGAATTATTTGCTGTTCTTATATATATTTGTTCTTTACTATTTTTAACTAATATTTCTAAATCTTCTCTTTAAGGGAGTTTGAATTTTCCTTATCATATAAGGTACTCTTCTCTGGACTTCTAAATTATTTCTCTACAGCACAAAGCATACACAGGTTGACTGCCACTGAGGTTTGTTTGATGATGGTCTGGGCAAGCATCAGAAAGAGAATTCACTTCAAAATCTCTCTGCCATGCAAATTAAGGAATTGTAAAATCATTTTGTAACTTTGCTCCTTTGCATTTTAGTTCATAACAGTGGTGTTAAACATGGTTAGTGTTTGACTGGAAGTGATCTTCAACTGTGCAGAGAACAAAGGATCAACACCAGGATTCTAATCTGTTTTTCAGTGTGTTAGAAATGTATATAGCTTCCCTATGTTAGCATTGTTTTTTCAGTTTGTTTGTACTGTATCTGGGTTCAAGGTAGAAACTTTCAAAATAGAAGCCCAAAGGAAGTTTTCAGGGCTGCTTGATAGAGACAAAGTTATTCAAGTATTGTGAATGTATGAAGGCCTTTACTTTGTGTGACTGAATTTATTGCAGTCCTATTTCAAAGATATTAATGAGATACTGAATCATTTCTATGCTGGCGAATCAACACTTTATTTTCCCCTGTGGATTTCTTCAAGTTCTTTCTACTGAGTTGTTTGGGAAACAGCTACCAGTGCAAGATAAACATGTATTTTAAAAAACTGTATGCTGAATGGAAATGAGATACTAAACCTCCAAATCATATATTTTTATTCCTTTTGAATGTAAAATCATTTTGACTCACAGGAGATGGAAGTGAACTGGTAGGCAGTAAACCTTAAAATTCTTGGCAGGAAAAAGGAGAGTAAGGAATGAGAAAGCCTTGAACTTTTTGTCATCTAGATGGTTTGGAAATGACAAAACATACTGTGTAACTGTTTATGTGGAGAAAATACACTCTGAAAGCAGTGCCTGTAACAGCATTTCAGAGGGTGCATTTCCCTTGCTCCATGGATCATAAGAAATAGTTCTGGTAGTTGTTCTGGAAGCAGCTGGTTGCAGTTACTGACTGATTTATCCCTGTCAAAATGGGTAAGAATTACCTAAGCTACTGGTGTAACACTTTTCTAAATACTGTGACTCAGTGGGTTCTAAGATGCAGTTACTATAAAGTTAGGAAATAGTTTATATTCTGCAATTCACACTTTCTTGTTTTAGTTATCTGTTCTGGCATCTGGGATGACTTAGAACAAGGCAAAGGCTTGCACAAATGCCTGATAGAAGTGGAGGAAGAGTTGTGCTGTTAAAATCTTGTAGAATGTAAATCTGGTGCTGTTGTGGGGGTATGAAGTGTTCAGTCTTACGTGTAGAGCTCTGATGGGCATCTCTGTAGCATTTGTGACAAAATCATTCATACCTCTGTGTAGTTTGAATTGCAACAGCTCTTCACTTTGCCGTGTTGCAAATGTAAGTGCCATTGCATTTGACCCAAAGAGTAAGTTTAAAACTTGTGAGGTTTTTTTGCCTGTGACTTTTCAGTTAGATATCTAGGAGAAGAGTCCTCCTTTTTTTTTGTACCTTTCATTTTCCCTTTGTTTTTAAATTTTCAAATAAACTTCTACCTTTCAATAATGAAATGTGCTTTAGTGTGCATGTTTATTGTTGAACTGTACTTAGTATTTCAAATACTCTATACAATTTCTTTATAGAAACGATTACAAAAAGAACTGTTGGCATTTCAAAATGATCCACCTCCAGGAATGACTCTAGATGAAAAGAGTGTAGAAAATTCAATTACACAGTAAGTATATATACTTTTATTTCTGCTATCATGCCGAAAAGTATAAGTAATGAGAAAGTCTCTTCATGCCATTTTCACCACTTGTTCCAAGTAACATTATGAATTTTTGCTTTAAGTTTAGGCAAGGAAACATTTTTCTCCTTAATGAATGTATTGCAGTAATGTGTGGGACACTTTCAGGAACTGGATAGTGAATTAATTAGTGTTATTAGGCATTTTAATGTCTAACAAACTGCCAGTTGGTAATAGCTTCTGCATATTTTAGGCTAAAATAATTTCACAATCTTTCATAGCTACTAACTTCTGAAGCTCCTCTAGATTTATTGGAATAATGGAGTAGCTGGTTTAGAGTTCTGCGTTATTTATGTAGAATATCTATTGTAGCTGTTAATTTCCATTACCTTCTTTCTCTAAAGCAAGTGAAGAAAACTTCTTAAAAAGCCAAAGCTGTCTGGGAACACTTGTTTGCACTTTCCACCCTGCTGTAGTTTTTTCTGTGATTAGTGAAACGGGAAGAGAAATGTTGTTAAATGTCGTGCGTCTTGTCCATTGAAATACCAGGACATTGAAATGTTCCTGGTGTTAAACTATTTATTTTAAATTGACTGAAATTCAGAAGATTTAGGCTGTGTAGACATTTCTTTTCCGTAATTTTCTTAGTTTAATTTTAGAGAAATGTTAACAATTTAGCAGATGTAAACATTTCTTAGAGTGTGGATCTCAGGCTGTATGTTCTGAACTGTTACTGGTTGATGGATCAATTTAAAAGCAACATAGAGCTGAATTTTGATGTTTCACATCTGCATTTTTGATGGTGACACTCAGACCACGTTACATGAGGCTTTTCTGAGCCTCCTACATACTGAGATAAGCACTCACTGCTTTTTAAATGATATTGTTCTTTATGATACTTTATGCAGGTGAATATGACTAAACCAAATTGAAATGGCACTTGCCAGAATTTGGTAGAAATAGTAGTCAACTCTTGTACAATTGCCAACTTCCAGCTTGTGTTTCTTGCTTTACTTTGGATTTTCTTTGAGAGGCAAAGTACTTAAATATTCTGCAAAAAGGACTCAGTCTAATATTGCAAGGGTTTTTCACTCATTTCAACAAAAATCAACTATTAAATCAATGTTTAGAGCAGATGAGGAGATTGAAAAAAAAAATCTTGGGTTTTTTTTCCCCTGCTTGTGGATTTCCATTTTTCATAGGATCTGTCTGTTCCCAGAGTACTACCTCATTATTTTTTCTGCCATGTACAACTTTTATTCCTTTCAATACACATAAAAACTTCCTGTTTGCTGTCTGCTAGATTTTTGAAATTGTCCATGTTTTAGAAACATGCTGTCACCAGTATCATCATATTCTTTTCTTTTTGAGGGACTTTGGTGTCAGGTAGCATCTTCTGAGTTCATTAATCAAGTTACAGTTTGAACTGCTGCAGTAAAAATTTGTGTAGCAATACTTGGTTGGGTTTTAAAGATGTTGAATAAAATAATTGGATCCCATGATCTAACTGGGTCATTCGAAACATTAAGCGATCTTCTATTTTAAATACACAAGGATTAGAAATTTGAGAAGGCCAGACTGTTAAGTGCACAGGAAAGATGTGTTCTAGTGAGTCCTTGACCATAAAAGGAGCAATGTCCAGGCAGAGTTATCTTCTATCTACTTAGTAAATTAAACTATTTTAAAAACTTGAACCTGCATGTTCTGGGTCAGAAGGACCAATAAATCTGAAGAGCATTGGTGCACCGTGTGTGTAAATGTAAAAGCAGAAGGCATAAGAAGAGTTAAGTGTTCTGGAGCGTAGATAGATTAAATTGAAGGCACCTTCCTAAGATTAAAATATGGAACGTAGTACAGCAGTCCCTGTGCTACTGTTGAAGATGCATTCCTCTCGAGGAGTGTGACAGTTAAGTAAGCAGTTTTTCTCAAAAAAACCCCAAACCTCTAAAACTAATAGCGGAGAAGATAAAAAACCTGCACGGCTTAAATACACAGAGAGAGTGTATATGACAGGAGGATGGAGAGGTTGGAAATAGGATCATCAGGGCTGCCAGCTGGAGATGTCGACTTCTCTGAGCACACTGCAGTTCTGCAAAATCTCATCTGCCTGCCTTGAGCTTATGTAAACCTTATCTGAGCATTTTTGGAGTCTCTTGCTGAATCTTTACCTTAATGTGTTGCTCAAATGTGTAAAACTCAGTCAAGGGTGAAAACAAAAAATGAGGAAGTGATGCTGTGAAGGATGATATGAAGTGATCAGCAGTAGAACTCTAAAATGACAGAAGTTGCATAGCAGAGTGTTGCTGTATGTGTTGAACAATATGCAAAGCATCTATTTTTAACTGGATTAAAAAAACCCACAACACAACTCAAACCCAATAAAACCCGACGCACGGCACCACCACCCCGTCCCCTGGGAGCTCCACCTGCCAGTTACTTCCATGTTGTTATGGTGGAAGGAGTAGAGGCAGAGGAAAGAGAGGTATATTAAGGTGCTATCTTCGTTGCAGTTTCAAATCATCCTTTTTTTGTTTTAATTTTCTGGGGTCTTTTTCTTTTTAGACAAGTAACTTTTTCAGTTTTGATTCCATTACCTGTCTGGGACCATTTAATTTCTGAGTTTTTCACAGGTATAAGGCAAGCTTTGCCCTTTCCCCTTGGATACAGATTTCATTTTAATAAACTGTATTGATGTTTTCCTTGACAGAAAAGTAAAACAACACAAAAGAAAATGTGTACTAGTTTGTTTCCTTCCAAGCCTGTTTATGTGTAGGAATAAGCTTTCAAACACGCTCTTACTGCAGCTTTGCTGTCTCACATGATCATTCATTTATTGGGAACTGAGGGGTCTGTGTTGAGCTCAAGTCATAATTAATTTATAATTTGCAGCACTGTATCAATTCCTGTGTGTAAAATACCAAGCTTGTTTCTTTCAAGTGTAGGCTTGAGGTATTGCTCACCTTTGTGGTTCTTACAATGTTAATAGAGGATTTAGAAGGTTTGGCTGTGTTTTGAAGTTGATTTAATTAGTCCTGTGTTCCAGGAGTAAAACTGCTAATTTGTCGGTCGACAATACTCAACAGCATTTTTCCTTATTCCTTAGGTGGATTGTAGACATGGAAGGTGCTCCGGGAACACTATATGAAGGGGAGAAATTTCAGCTTTTATTTAAGTTTAGTAGTCGGTATCCTTTTGATTCGCCTCAGGTAACTGCCTTCTCTCTTGCCTTTAGGTTATAGCTGTATGACACATACTGACTATTATATCATTGCATATCTTAATGTGAAGTTTAGCTACATTAATTTGTATTAAACTCATTTTTCAGATGACTTTTAACAATTATTCTGCAGTGAGGTATAGTGCTCTGACAGTCTACTTGGTTTCATAGGAGACGAAACTAGTGTAAAGTGGAGACTTCTTTGAGGTTGATATTCATGTCGTATGAGAGAGAAACACAAGGTAAAACAGGAAGATCCCCTTGACCGCGATGTAGGAGCCGAGTAAACAACAAACTGATTCTTTGTCCTTTCTCTTCTTGCTTTCAACATGTTTTTTTCTAGTTTAAGACTCTTGCATCTTCTCTGTTGCCATTAATACAGCTTGAGAAATACTGTGCTTCTGGTAGGGATGCTCATAGTTACACGACATGTTTGAGAGGCCTCTAAATAGAGTGGTTAGATACTGTGTTGCTTTCGTGGCAGCCCAAAGAACTGAAGGGGCAGCTGTCCTTAGAGACTGCAACGTGCTGTGTGCCCCGATCCCTCCACTACCTGAGAGAAACATTATAAAATATGACTGGTAAGATTAGTGCTCAAGTATCACTTCTTCTTTTCTGAAAAGGAAGGAGAAAAGCAAGGGTGCCTTAGTTATTTTCCTATCTGTTTCTACTCAAAGTTCTAAGAGTGATTTCTGCAGCTTTTCTCATTGGTGTTAAGACTGCAGCATGGAGCTGCGAGAGACACTTAAACCAAAAATTTGCATATTTTTAGGTACCATGATAAAAACTAGAATGCTGACTTTTCAGTCTTAGGCTTTAAAGAACAAACTGGCCACCTGTACTTCTGCACTTCACATGTTTGCAGTGAGCTACTCATAGGTGATCCACAAGAGAGTAGCCACTTTAATTAGTAACTGCTTGGAACGAGTTTGTACTCATCATCCAACCTGTGTGTGTGGCTCTGTGCAATTTATTGTTAAGCAGCGACTTAGATCCATACATCTACATTGAATTGTAGCACAGATAGTTGATTGTTGTAGATGTCTGGAATCTCTCTTTTAAAATGCTGCTGTGCAGTAAGGTCATTCTCTACTATAAATCTCTGAGTCCTAATTATCTCTCCTGCAAATCTCCTTACTGTTAATTGACAGTTTACGCTTCTGCTGCTTAATCACTTGGTCGTTTCCTGCCTTCAAGTGTATGTTGTCTAGCATAGTGTGCGAGCTGTTACTTAGCTAGTATGCCCTGTTCTGGTTTTCATTTAAAAGGAAGGTGTTAGTTAGAAGTGAGATACCTTGCTGGATTATGAAGGTAAGCTCTTCAATGCTTAAGAAATACCAGTTTAAAGACCTATCATTCCCCATCCAGTTTTTCTTCTGCCTTCTATTTGGCAGATAGATTAAGCTCTCTAACTTCAACTTCCTATATGATGAAGGTATTGCTTCTTTCTTGTCATCAGTGATAAGGTGGGTGTGTTGTGTACATGTTTAAAGATTTGTATGCATATCAGTATAACTTTAGAAACACTTAAGAGTGTTGGGTGTTATGGTTATAAGTGGTAGAGATTTATTTTGTCGTTGCATAAAAGATGACAGTGGTTACATTGCAAAAGGAGTTCAGCAGTAGAACACTGCTATGAAGATTGCACTTTGACTCTATTTCCATTGGTCGTGGTGTGCATTTGACAAAAACTTTATGTAAGAGCAATATTTGTCAAAATTGCCTTTTTAACCTTTTTTTTGACTCTGATACTATCTTTTAATAGAAAGGAGTTAAGGTTCTAAATGCTGTTCTTCCATATTCGTTTGTGTCAAATAAGAATGTATTGCATTTGAAGTACAGATTTAAAAATATTTCCTATTTGGTAGCATACTTGGGTGTCACAAATCATATATTTTATAGTTAATAATTGTACTCTTTATGCTGGAACCTGGGTGAGTTGTCCAGAACTTAATTTGTGTCATGTCCAGGACTGTAGAAATACTCATTTGTGAATCTCGTTATGCTTCCTGATGTATAATGTTGTGGCTTATAAAATCATTAAAATCCAGTGTTTTGACTAGACAGCTGTTCCTTAGGGCATGAAAGAGTGAGGCTGCAAGATATGTCTTTGCATTGGTACCTTTGCATTTTTCTATACTGTATCAATTTTCATAGTAAACCCCCTATATTTAATCATTTGTTTAACTTCATCTTCACTAGCTATTCAAGCTTCCATTGTTTATTTTACGTTTCACTTAGGCTCCTTCATTTTTGGAAGGATTAACATGGTAAAGTGCATTATTTAGTGTATGTGAAAATGGCAGATCTGCTTCTTAAATAAGATGATATTTTTTTCCCCAAAACAATACTGTTAATTTAAAATATAGACAACAAATTACAGTTATGTTTGTTCTTCTTTTTAGGTCATGTTTACTGGAGACAATATTCCTGTTCATCCTCATGTTTATAGCAATGGTCATATCTGTTTATCCATTCTAACGGAAGACTGGTCTCCAGCTCTCTCAGTGCAATCTGTTTGTCTTAGCATTATTAGCATGCTTTCCAGCTGCAAAGAAAAGGTATGGGCTCTTTTAGCACTGTTGGAGTAGAATAAGTAAAAGTTAATAATCTTCTACTTTGCAAAGTGAGAATTTCATTTCACAAGTTCTAAAGTAGGCAAAAGTACTATATCTGCATTTCTGCTATTGAGAAATACTAAGCTAGAACTGCAAAATAAACAGTGCAGTAAGTACTTTGTCACTGTTGTCATGGTAACCTGCTTATATACCATTATTGGAAAAGAGGACTGGAACCCTTCTAGTTGTGACGTTCAATCCTGGTTTAGGACAATTCTTTGTAAAATTATCCTGCCTCTACAGGCAGAGCTACATGACTATTGAAATGTCTTTAGTGCAGGTCTTTGTAAGGCCTTGCAGCTGCACTCTTTCAGTGGTCATGACAATTTTCATTTCAGGATAGTAAGTGGTGCTAAGCTGCTATTTTGATCATTGACGTGTGGTGCTAATACTTTAGGCCTTATCTGTAAAGGGTATTTTACTCTTGACCATTTCTTTTGCAATGGACTGTCTGTGGAAGTTAGATGTGATTAGCACTTGTCCATACCTGCTATCCAAACATGTCTATTTATGTCACATCCCAGTCAGTCCTAGTCATGTGTATGTAGGAGAAAAAACACCCCAAAATGGCTCTGTATTGTATTCTAGCTTGTGACTTTTGTTTTGTATAATGAAGAGACTTAGGAAGAAAGCTGAAGAATATGAAGTATTGATCAGATACAGGTGTTTAAGTTTGTTTTTTCACCCATTCCAAGATGAGCATTATAGATGTGAATTGGATCTAATATATCAGAATAAGATTCCAGATTTCAAAGGAATTTAATTTCAGATTTTTTTGAACAGCAGCTGTTTCTTTCTTGTGGGTGGTTTTCTTTCTTTTTATTTTTATTTCTCCCCATATTTATCTCCAAACTGTTTAGTATTTTTCATTTTTTTTTTTTTTTGGCTTGGAGTGTCTTCAGTAAGAATTTGTTACCTGGATCTTCAAGAGATTTTTTTTTTTCTCCCCAAAGGTCTAGTCCTCCCTGTTACCTCATTTTCACTGCATTCACATGGTGACCTTTCATAAGCTTATTAAATAGCTCATGTATTACAATATGAGGATTGTTTGATTATTTGTAGGTCTTTTCTTCTGTTGCAGAGGCGACCTCCAGATAACTCATTTTATGTAAGAACATGTAACAAGAATCCAAAGAAAACAAAATGGTGGTATCATGGTAAGTATTTAACTAGGACCAGGAATTTTTAAGTTCTTTTCAGGTCGAAGGCAAGTAAAATGTAGGAAAGTAGAATAAATGTATTCAGAGCCTTAAACTATGTTTTTAAATTTCAAAATGTTACTAGATTCATGTTTCTGAGATACTCTGCTGTGATTTTTATGTGATATCATAATTTAATAATTCCTGTTGGGAATTCAGACACATGCTTACATGTTTTACATTGTAAGATTAAATTTGAATGAAAGTTCTTGTAAACTGTATTAGTCCATGGCAAGTCTTAAGTTTGGGGTCGGGGAAGGTCCATAATGAAACTACGTTTAGCTCTAAACCTGTGATTTTTGTTGTTGTTAACACTTCAAGAGCTTTTATGGTGTTGAAAAGATACCTATATATTTGTGAACAGCTATGTGTTTTAATAGATTTCCACTTGTAATCAGAATTTCCAGTCTGGGACAGTTGACTGATTTTAAAGGCTCCTGAGAGCTAATAATAATGTAGTAATAAGATTCTAGGTGTATGTGATAAAAAAAAATCCACCTTACTAAAATTGCTGCATCATCTACAGTGCTAGTATTGTGTTGGTTTTTTTTTCTTTGGTTAGTTTTGTTTTGGGGTTTGCCTCTTTTTCCTTTTGTGTGGTTTTTTTTCTCTTCTTTCCATGTGCTCACTCTCTGGCTTTACACTGTGTGGTTTCTTTCTTATGCCTCAGCATTTGTCATCCTCTACCCAGAGCTGCAATTGGCTGTATGTGCTTATCTTACCCACTCCATTGGTGAGGAAAGAGAGAAAGACAGGATAGAGATGGGCTGTACTTTGCTTCTCTTCTCCCTTGTCAAGCCAGTGGTTTCACTAGGAAAATACTATACGAATGGTAGTTATTGGAAACCCAAGTGTTTGGGGAAGGGATGTGTTAGAGCAGGTAATACTGGATGCTACAGTGGTGCAGGAGGAGTTGATCCCATCATTACCTTTCACTGAAAGCTCCATCATAAGACATCCTCTGTTTTCACTGCCTCCCCCACCCTGGGACCTGTTCTGTCCCCTATGTGAAATGAGACCAGGCGTTCTGAGATAGTGAGAGTTCATGACTGGAGAGGTAGATGCCAACGCTTTTACTCTTAAAATTCTTAAGATTCTTAAAGGGCTGTGGATGCCTTAACAAAAAAAAACTTGAGAGTTTCATAATACTTGCTGAGACCCATGGGGGTTTGATTTATGGTAATGCAGCAGAATGAAACTCAGTTTCTTGTAATACTCCAATGGTATCTCTGAAAACAGGTGACCGCAGTTACGGTAAGAGGTGTGCTATATGTCATGGGATTAAGATGTATTTAGGAAACTTGGAACTGTTTATAATGGGTTTTTCATCTTCAGATTATTCAGCAATCACTTTCTCCTCTGTCTCTCTTTTCACACTTCTGTCACATGTTTGGTGCTTCTCCATTTCTAGCTTTGTTTGCTCTTTGTTGACAATTTTGAGAGAGTTATTGTTAAATTTATTTGCACTTGCTTTTTAGAGAGAAACAAGGAAGGTTCCATCTGTTGGCTTTATCTTGTGATTAAAATATGTTCTGTCTACTTTTAATTTGTACTAGTCTCATTTTGATTCAGACTAGAAGTCTGTAGAAGGGGAGTAGTCTGCAGATACTACTGTGATTTCTTAATCATGAAATTCAATTTGAGTTAAACAAGCAAAACAAATTAGTATGAAAATAAATGAGGGTTATCTGACTCTGAAAGTTGCTGTGTTGTTGTGGCTCAAAACCATCAGGCTGCTTATAGTGCACTGAACAAGTCAAATGTCTGTTTTCTGTAAGTCAGGATACCCTACAACCTGCTCAAATTCAGAGCAACCTAGAAACCAACCTGAGGCAAGAGAAATCAAGTCTGTTCATTTAAATAACTTGTACTGTCTAGCTTCGTGATTAAAAGTTCATTGGGCTCCCTCTGCTTTAAATTCCTAGATGAAAACATAAATCATGTCTGATATCCACTAGACAAAATTTCACACATGCTAGAGTGTTTTCCCTTCAGGTTTTCTGTGTCATTTGCTTCTTCTCTCAGTTACAATGAGAGAACTGAGAGAACTGCAAAGATAGGACAAGGGGTCATGTGTTCAAAGTGAAGGAGGGAAAGTCTAGGTTAGATATTAGAAAAAAAAGTTTTTTTCCTGTGAGGGTGGTGAGACATTGGAACAGGTTGCCCAGGGAAGTGGTAGCTGCCCCAACCCTGGTGGTGTTCAAGGCCGGACTGGATGAAGCCTTGAGCAACCTGATCCAGTGAGGAGGTGTCCCTGCCCATGGCAGGGGGTTGGGACTAGATGGTCTGTAAGATCCATTCCAACCTTTAAATTCTATGATTCTTTGATTCTATTTTGTTTCTCTCTTCTGTGTACGTAGAACAAGACTGCCAGGGCCTGAGCTTTCAATGGCCAATGTTTTCTTAAAGGGTTTGAAGAAATGGTGGTTTAAACTAAAATGGGAAGTGTGAAAAGATGACTCTGTCATCTTCATTTTCTGCTCACACTTCAACTGAAGTGTCATGTATCCAGTCTTGTGGTTGAAGCACACTGGGCTGGGTAAATCAGGGGAGAAAAAGTAATCCCAACCAAGAAAGAAAACCAACTGTCCAAGAGTAACCAACCACTGGGTGAAATAAATGCCAGTGCTGATACAAGATCATGTGGAGGGAGATGCAGACTGGTTCTGCCCCTTCTGGTGTCAGCCACCCATTGGACTGGGTTAGCTCTAATGTGACCCTGGATCCCTCTGTTTTGAAGAGTAGGGAAGAAGTCTGTCATCTGTATTACTATATGCATTTGAAGGAAAATATTTTTTTCCAGTTGGTGCCTGGAATTTATTTGTCTGGAGCAAAGTAGTGCATGGTTCACAGCTGATGTAAAGCAAACCCATATGAACACAGAGTGATAAAGTGGCACTTAGAGACATATTCTGACATGTAAATATGTGTCTGCATATATTACAGAGTCTTTAATCTCTCATTTCATCCCTGCTCCAACACAGCAACTTATTCCACAAGCAGGTTTATGGAGCCTTGTTTGCTACGAAATTGTTGTCACAAGCTCCATTTTAAAACTCCTGAGCTTTGATAACTGAAAATATTTATAGATTGTCTTTCCTACCCAGTGTCTCTTTCCACTGTGCATTGACTTTCATGTTGAATTTCAATCTGAGAGTTGCTCATGTTGTGTTAAAGATAGAGGAGGATCTTCCAGGTGCAGTTTACTTGGGCATCCAGGCTGAAGTTGGCTTCATAAAGCTGTTGACTGCCCTTTCTCTCTTTCTTGCATTCTTGTCCATTTTTTTGACATGTACAGTAACCTACTATAAAAATGAAGAGGTTTTTTAGCAGTAATAGTATTGATGGCATAATGTTTTCCCATGAGAATGTAGAATGTTTGAGGCTACATTTTTGAGTGTGCAAGGTTCCAAGGAAGTGCTTTAAAAATAAGTAGACAGTAAGTTTGCTTTCTGTTAAGAACTTAGTATTTCCAGTTGTCAGATGCAAATATACCTCAGGTTGAAAGAGAAAGTTGAAAAGGGAGACCATTCACAGACAAATGTTTAATATGGAGCATAATGCAGAAAAGATTGGCATAGAATATGCTTTTTGTAGTATGTTCTGTCCAATCACAGTATCTTAAATTTTGCAAAGATAAGTTATTTTCGGGTTTAAGATTTTAGGATTATAGTTGTAACCTATTATTTTTGCATAATTCTGTCAGCTATGGTTTTGTCTCTCTCTTGAGAAATAAATTAATATACATACATATATATCAAACTATATATGCAGAAAGGGTTGAGGATGTCTCAGAAGCAGCTCACTCTGCCAGCTCTTATCCCTATGCATTCCATATAAAAGGATGTCTTGGTTTGGTCACTGGTGTAGACCTGCTTTACTTCACGGGTGCAAAATGTTAAGCATATTTGAGTTTTCATTTTCCTGGTTGAGTGGCTTTCTAAACATCGTGTGGAAATGACTGTGCTTTTAGGGGATTATTTGCTAATACTAATACGTTTGGGGGTATATGTGTGTTTGGGAAGGTTTACTTCGTTATTCTCTCCTCTTTTTTCCTGAGTCATTATTGAACAGCACGACAGAATTACTCAATCATTGTATATCCACTGCATGTTACTGTCTATGCCAAGAATTGTTTCTGCATATAGCACCTTGCTGATTTGGAATTAGAATGTTTATATGTTCTCCATAAATGCTCTTCTTTTATTTTAAAGATGACACATGTTGATGCCACCATTTTGTGATCCTCGTAGCAGAAGATAGTCCTACTGAGAAAATGAGCACTTTGATCATTCAGTCTTTGAACTTTAACCTTTGACTGGAAGTGACCTATAGGCAACGAAGACTACTTCCTTTGACTGCATTTTTACTAGTGTGCATTCTGGGCGCATGTTGATCGCTGGTTCAGTCCATGCAACTGACATGCTTTAATTAGTCATACAGTATTAATGCAGGTGTCCAGAAATGTCAGAATAATTCCATTATTTTTATTTTAAGCTTTTGGAAGAATTCCAGGTCTTCATATATTGTGCAATAACACTGAGCTCCTTGGCGGTTTTGGTGCATCCATTGCCGGCAATGGACATTGTACCAGGGAAAGGTTTTGCTCCTGCCACAAACAAGATTGATACATGACAGAGCTTAGGAAAGTTTTGGATATATTTGGATTATAAGCAAGGGATTGACAATTACCTTAAATCCAGCCCATTCTTTTATATTTGGATTCTATGCACTGTGATCACAGAACTAGCAGCATGAGTTAACATGCCAAGCTGAAGGACTGTAATAAGATCGTTACATATTTATTAAATTGTTTATCTGCTGTCAAATTGTTTTGACATGGGCGGTTTTTCAAGTGACATTGGCAGAGAGGCACAATGTTATCCCTATGGTGAAATAAAACTACTTTTTGTATATAGTTATTCATATCTCTGAAGCAAAGGTATGAGTAATTAAGGGTATGAGTGATTTAAACGAGACTTTATTTTGGAGATAGAGGATGGCAGTGATATAACTGAACTTGCTGCAGTCCGTAATTGGGCTTGTAATTTGTACTTTAGAGCTTTTTCCAAATAGATTGCACACTGTTATTTCCTGCTAGCCATCAGCATGAGCCCTACTGCCTACACCAATATTTCATTTATTTATGTGTTCGAAAGCAATCCATATAACATTTTTTGTTTGCATTCACTGTTTCTTTTGTGTTGTATGTCATGTTTGAATGTTACAAAACAATATTTTGATTGAAAAGCTTTGTCAGAAGATATTTTCATGTAAATTGTTTCTTTATCTTGTAAGCATCATCTTGTCTTTTAATCCTGTACTATAAAAAGAAAAAAAAATACATTTTTGACAGAGGCTTAAAGTTTTCACAAAAAGGTGTGGACCTTCTTATTTAAGTTTAGACTTAAGTATATTTTCTTAACTTGCTTGTCCCACGCAGCCATGCCAATTTTTTCCAGGCTTTTCACAAAAAAAAAGGGGAAAAAGCCTAATCAGATTGACATTTTTCAGTGGAGCAACATTTATTGAAATGATAGTTGTTCTCAGCACTCTGTAATATTTTGATACTGCAATTAGGTTGTCTTTTTAGGAAGCACTTTTGTAAACTTAATACCTTTACACATATGCAAAAATTTCTATGACTTTTTTTTACTGTTGCCTTATTGTTGCACTCAAAAGAAACATCAAGCAATTAATGCATGAATGTCTAAAGTAACTACTTGATGTAAAAGCAAACAAACAAAAGCAAAAAAAAATAAATCCCTGAACCCAATCCAAAATGGATAACTACAATAGCAAACAAAATTGGCTGAAAATACTGTTGGTTTTTTTTACCTGCTGTATGATAACTGACAAGTTTTATAGCCTTGTACATACTTCTCTGTTACCTATTGTTTCAAACATTTTGAAAAAGTATAGATGCTTAACTCAGGGTGGATAGAGTTCAGATGGATTTGCTTCAGAGAAGTATTTTGTACAGCAACAGAATTAGAGATACTGGCAGTGAAGTGAGGCTACAATATACTTCAGGAACTGCTATTTTTTTTCTACTGTACTGAAAATATCTCTTGGCCTTTAAAACTCAATGGTAAAATCTAGCTTTGGATAAGAATTTGATATGTGTATATATTTTCACAACGAGCCTTTGAAACATAGAATTCAGTTTCTTTTAAGAGCCAAAAAAAAAGTCGTTGTAAACAAATGAAGTACTCTTAACTTTTTGTTTAGCAAAATTTTATTGTTGTGAGTTAATCAAACTGGTTATTTTTGAAAACATTTCATATGAATGAGCAGTAACCCAATACTTAATCTGTATATTCATGTTAGCTGCTCTGTATTGATTGAAACAATTGACTCGTCTTGGAGAAATTCATGTATGAATGGTTCACATAATGAATCCTATCAAAATGGTCCACAGGAAAGAGATCTTAATGTGACATCAGGTAATGACTGAAGAAATGGCTCAAGTACATCTCAGATTCATGTATCTTTTCATATGGTGGCTTATGAAACTACAAGATATAGTATCAGAAGCTTTATGACATACTGTATGTATTTTGTTGAAGATTGGCGTTGTAGTGCAAAGCATTGTAAGTTTATTGACCTGTGCTGTCACATGGACTACAGGGAAGTTAAATAACCAAGTTTATGCTGCTCTTTAATAAACTCCCACCCCCTTTAATATACTTAGATCAAACAAATGCCAGGTAGATTAGAAGAGAATGTACCTCAGGTCTTTTAGTTTACAGTAGAAACGCCTCCGTTGGTTCTCTTGTAGATCTGTGGGTAAGTTCACCTGTATAGAGAGGGCCAAGACAAAGCCTATATACCACTCAAGCCCTCAAAATAATGCAACTATTCTGACAATGCTATGATGTCCTGAAATAGGGCCTGAATTAGATGAAGGTGGTGCCATCCTTTCTGTAGGGTGACCCTGTGTATGTAACTTTCTTTCACTTGGAATTTCTCATATGAAATGGTTACGGAATTGGCTTGAAACTATCTTGCTTTTATTTTGTGTCAATATTCATGTTGTTAAATACTTTGTTTTGTGTTTAGTGTCTTTATACTATAACACAATAAATTCTTGTTTTAAAATAGATTACTACCCTTGAATGGAAATACGTGTGGACCTTTTCATGGTGGAGTGCAGAAGCACAGTTCTTACATTCAGCAGCTCTTGAGACAAAGCTGTCAGTAGTTCTAAAATGCTGTGATACATACCAGGGGAGGAATTTGGATAACAGTGAGGTGTTTCCTCTTTCTCCAGAGGGTGTCTGTTTTAGCAGCTGAAGGGAAATAGCTTATTAACGAAAAAAATCACTAAAACGTAATGCTTTCATTTCTCATAGGTGATCGAATAGTTCGTTATCGTTGGTTCTTTGCCATTTGACAAACACTTCAGATATTGAATGGGAAGTTTCAGGTGCAGGATTCTTGTTTGCTTGCAGTGATGGGAGGAGAGTTTCTATTACTTTCTTAGCATATATCAGGACTGTTAAACTTCTGCCTCATACCAGTAATTGCTTTTGGTTTTGTACAGTTTTTTGTTCAAGAGATGATGTCTTCTGTTTTGTTAAGACCAAAGCACTTCATAACTAAACCCCATATTTTTATGAGAAGTTAAGGGTTTGGGTTTTTTATTCATGTGTCAAGTGTTACAAAGATTGTTCTGGATGTTTGATTTTTATTTACTACTTTCTTTGAAAGTGTGACAACATATAGTTCCCATCTCAGGTTTTAAAGGTACAGCCTAAGGAAACCACAAAGTTTCTATGTCAGTAATTAAATTTTAAAGAGCAGAGCAAACAAATGTCTGTCAGGAAAGGTTTAAATATAACTGATAATAAGTGTTTGCAGTCCTGCACTTGGTAATGTTTTTAATAGGTAAAAATTAAAACACATGATGTTTTAATAACAAAGGGGGACAAAAACCATCTGTGGCTCTCATGTTTCTTAGAACGTGTCCTGTTGGTGTTAAAAGGTTTGCTGTTGTGCAGCTGTAGAACGTCTTGGTTTGGGGTAAGTCAGTATAGTTTTTGCCTCTTTTGGTAAGCAATTGAGCATTATGTTGTGTTTGCTTACTTATAAATCTTGATCATTCTCAAACATAGGTGTGAATGAACTTTCTTTTAGAACCAACTACTTTTCATCCATGTCATCTAGTCTGGTTAGGGTTTGCTCTAGTAAGCAGTGGTACCTGAGGTGTTGTGTTGAACTGGATAAGGGGAATTAATCCACCTTAGTGATTTCCATCTTCAGCTGCAGCCACACAGCACTATGGGAAGAGAGACTTTGGATTTGGTTTGTGTGCCAGGTACTTTTGTTGGCCTGTTGTTTCTAGGACTCAAACTAACTTTCCAAACCATCAAGCTTTAAAATACCTTAATAAAATTGGAAGAGTGAAAATACCACGAGCCTCCTTTTACCATAGTAAAATATAATTCAGAAATACAAATTGGAGAATACTTAGCCATTGGTTTTTGGTTTCATTTTACTGGCAATGCAGGGTAATCTGTTCACTTGCCATATTAATTTTCCTCCAGATTTTATGTACTTTTTAAAATAGTGTTTGAGGGGCTTTGAGCAGTTGATTCAACTTAAGAAATTCTCTCTGGAGCTACTTGAAGTTAAGACTTTTTTAAATTGCAAAGCAAGAGCATTTTCAGTAGCACTGAAGTTTCAAAGTAGTTACTATCATGAAGTGGCTTCCTTGGAAACCTGCATATGTTTCATTCAGATAATTATTTTGTATTTGAAAACCGAAAACTAAATGCAAAATCAATTGATCATGCAGTGTATACCAGCACAGAGATCAGATTTGTAAGCCTGTGTGCACAGTCTCCTTAGTATAAATACTCCATAGGAGCTCTTAACGTGTGAGTCAGTGGTAGTAGGTTAGATTGTATTTCACCCCCTTCAGTTTGTATACATGCTATCTGTGGTGTAACTTGGGCTTTTGAAGTGTCATTTTTCACTTCTGATAGTGAAGGAGCTGCTTACAGGAGACCCTACTTTTCTGGACTAGGAATCCAGTGAATAATTGAAAACCATAATGATGGCCTCAATGACAGATGTTACAGTCTGAAATCGTGTAGCACTGACCTCAGTTCTTTCCCTCATGCTGGTCTGACTTTTGGGATTTAAAATCTCCATAATAAGGCGTTTTGTCTTGTCTTCAGCATTTGGGAACCTGTTCTCTTAGAGTGCTGTCAAGTGCTTTGTGCCAAGTAGGTCAGGGTTAAATCTGTTCAGATAAACATTCCAGGCCCTTTCTCTTCCCAGGACTACAACATTATCTGGATACTGCTGATGCAGTTCTCCAGGGCATTTTATCCTTAAAGATAATATCAAGCAGAGTTCCTGCTATGACCAGAGAAGGAGGAATTTGTACACCTTCTTCGTTTTCAGTCTAATGATTTACATTCCTACTTGCATCTAGCTTTATTGTTGAGTCTGCACCGAGATGATTTAGCATGTTAAACTGATAGGAAACTGACTTTTTAAAAAAGAAAAAAGTGAACATCTTTCTTAATTAGCAAATTGAATCAGCTCGCTGCATGATCAAGATTTTCAGAGCTAGTGCAAAAGTGGAAAGGGTTGTGCAGCTGGGGTTTGGGAGGTGATGGATGAAACGTGATTTCTCTCTTTAGGCTTTTCTGCATAATGTGAGGTACTAGAAATGTTGTGTTGCACAGAGACAGAGTTATGTGCTATGAGAAGCCTGAGAGATGGAGGTCTGGACTGCCTATGACAGTCTATGGCAGGGAACTCTCCTGTGTGTTTTAATATTGCTGTCTAGTAAAAATCTTGAAGTTGTTCCAAAGCCTTGAGGGTGATCTATTACTTTTGTTTAGATGCCTTGAGTTTTGGTGCCCAAGAACAGGTTGGCATTTTGGCCTTTTTTCAAAATAGCAAGTCTGCTGGCATTGCTCTGCTGGGTTATTTTTAGTTAGGTTTTTATCAGGCCAACGTTGTCAAGCCTTAATCAAACACAGATTCAGTGAAGCTGCTCAGAAAATGCCCACTTATTTTCCAAAAGGAAGGCAATCATGTTACAAATCAAACATTCTTGAGATTAGATAGAAAGCCAAATGTGGTGCAGTCCTCTTTAATACAGAAAACACTTGAGATAGAAGTCTTTGATACAGATCTCATTTGTCTATTGTATGGCTCAAATGAAGAACTCTTCTACTCTGGTATGTGGATTTCAAGGCAAAATTCCGCTATTAGTCATCTCATCTTTTGCTCTGAAGGTCTTGTTCAAGAGACAGATGAAATCTGGTCTGTTTGATCTTAATTTATTATTTGTACTGGGTCAGTGAAGAATGTGACAGGTGTCATTCTGACTGGTGATGAAGGGTGAGTAGCTCTTGAGTCTCTCTTACTCTGCAAACTGTCCACATGTCTGTGTACAGAGTAAAATGTGTCTTTATTGGGTGTAGACAATTTATCAAAGATTAGAACTCTGGAAGAAGCAATATAGGAATTATACATAAGTAAGTAAATAAGTGACAAAGATGGATAAAGCATCAAATCTTGAGATGATTTAGAGTGAGGCCTGAAGTGTTGGTTTGCATAAGGTTTTGAGTTTATAGGGGGGGTGGGGAGGTGGTGTGGAGAAATCACCTTACACTAAGGTGTTTTGTATCACACAGGCTTTTGGTCTTACACAGTGGTGTTCCCCAGGGCTCAGTACTGGGGCTGGTCCTATTTAACATCTTTACTGATGTTCTGGATGTGGGGTTTGAGTGCACCCTCAGGTGTGAGTGTCAGTATGCCTGAGGGTTAGAAAGCTCTACAGAGAGATGTGGAC